CCCAAAAAAATCACGGTCAAGTAGTTAAAAATCACCTAAAATCACCATATTTTGCGAATTAGCGCCCCTCAACGATCATCTTTTATTGTAGGCGTCCAAAGGTCACCATCAGAAATTGAGCTGTCTTCGAAATAACCGTCACTAAAGACACTATTGCTTATAAACAGTGAGTAGTTATCTTCGTATTTCTCGATGCATGTAGACCTTGATTGAAGTTACGATACACGCTAATTATATAGGCCTACTGAAACATCAGTTTGGTTTTGGTTTCTATCAACGATTATGGAAACCTTACGACAATTTAATACACTTCCTCATCACATATCATCAGACAAAATATTTCTATTTGAAACAAACCTCCATCAAGGTATCTAAAAACGTTCACCAGAACCAGTCATTATGTTGCCAAGCTTTAGTGGAATATTAAAGTAACATTTGCTGGGGAGCATCGTATAAGTAACACAAAATAACATTGCTGTACTTTATAGACTCTTAAGACGACGCTGTTCTAGGAAACCATGCCGAAGCTGCAGTGCTGCTGTTTCTGTCGAAGGTCTAGAAATTGTGAGGAGGAAGAAAGCAAGAATGGCAAGTCCAATAAACTTATTCAAGATCAAAAGACGGCATGGACCAGAGGCCGCAGTTCCGATGGGCCTTGCGTAATTGGTAAGTTATACCACTATATCATGATAATAAATATGTGAGTAAAACGTATGTCCCCATTGAATTCGAACCCAAGACTTTCTGATGTCAAATACTGATTTTGTCTTAAATATGGAGAGCAAGGTATTCTTTCGAAATCTCTTTCGCATTAATAGCAAGTGATTTGACAATTACAGGATAGACAATGCTTTAAAATCCAGGCTTCCTTAAAAGGATTATTAAGTAGATTTGTCTTCAGTCGTGAGAAAAATCCTGTTGTCACAGAAATTGAACCCATGACCGTGTGGTGAGAAAGCAAGCGTCTTAACCACCAGGTTATTCAACTCCATTCCTATTTGTCATATTTCAGAAGAGCAGGTCATACGCTAAGAGGGTAGGGATTAACAATGGATACATTAGTCAGTTTTTAAATAAATAAAACATAAAAGATCAAAATAACAATAACCATCTTATTATTGTGTAGCCACTCATTTAGATGGAGAGGTCTCTGGAAAGAATATGTTTAGTAGATAGGCCCCAATGACAGAAATCACTTAGATGAACGCTAACATTAGTCTTTTTCACAATCTAATTGAAGTATACGTGTACAAATTATGTTAATTTGGTATTAACTCAACTAAGAGGTGATAGCCAACAGAATTTTTATGTTTGGTCAATGTCTGTTGGTTAAAGTACATATTTAATAACACTTATATATGAATGCTTATTAATTATACCAATTCAAACAAATCAGAACAAGTAGGCCTATGTATCATCTGAGTGCAGCCTAATAACATGTCATAAACCAGAGACGGTTATAGTTTTTTTTGTTCAGTTAATGTATATTGAAACACAACTAACAAAGGGCCCTGTCGCCACCCCCCCCCCAACCGCTTATTATATTGTCTTGACCTGATTTCATGGTTTTTAGCAATTGTCGTGTGTAATATTAACTTGTTTATTTTTATTCTTGTTGTAGATGCTACACTAACCGGTGATGAACAACACAATCAGTACGTTACAAAGATTTACAGCAATGAACGTCGTTTCAATCGGGTGGAAAGTACCCACGATTACGAAGAACCACGCATGTGTAGTGACCAGGAAGACGAGGGGAAAAGCCAAACAAATAGTCAAAAGGAAGGTGGACACAAAGCGTCATGGTTTAACTGGCCGAAACGACAGATTGATGACAGCGGTATATACGACACCCCAAATCCCATACTTAGGAAACTTACATTACTGAGAAAAAAACCCGAAAGCAAAGGTAAAAACGAGTATGATTATATAGATCGTACAGACGTGGACATCACGTCCTCATCTTCAACGAAAGAACCAGATAACACATACGAAACAATGAAGAATTGCTAATGAAATGTTATATTTGTTTAGAAATTATCATAGACTAGAAGATCATTATTAACAGTGTTATTATTATTCATAATTTTAATATTAATACATGTTTTATAATAATAATTATTATTATCTGTTATATAGGCTATTCTATTATAAACATGCTCATATTGAAAAAAATAAATTTATATAAGATTACAGTTGTATAAGTGAACAGTCACATGATTGTTCACTTATTTATTTATTTAATTTGAATCCTGGGTCGTATTTTTTTGCATTTTCGGTTTAGCTGTTGTACGAGGCGTGGATTTTTTTCATAGATTACCATACAATTTTTAATAACCTAAATAGTAATGATATTGATCGAAGAACATGCATTATCTTCTTGAGGAAAATGCATGATCTTCATTTTATTAATATGAGGATTTCGGTGGGATTGATTGATTTTTTCTATTTTTGTTGTTGTTGTTGTTTGCATGTTTAACTATTAGTGGCAGTTCTCATCGCTGTTGGTATTTTTAACGAATAAAATAAAATAATAATAAAAAAATAACAATAGCAACACATTTGCTCTCTATATCACGCTTTAATGTCATGAATAACTCTCTCTACTGATTATAATACTTTAGTATCTTGTATAATAATAAAGCTGTTCGTTGTAGTCTCAGCAAAATTCTAGTGGATACAGATCAGTCTTCCAAGCCATGCTATGGTCTTTAGTTTGGTAAATGTGCTATATTGGGGACTGTACTGTACTGATACAGATAATGTATTATATTATTATTATTATTATTATTATTATTATTATTATTATTATTATTATTATTATTATTATCATTATCATTATCATTATCATTATCATCATTATCATCATTATCATCATTATCATCATTATCATTATTATTATTATTATTATTATTATCATCATTATTATCATCATTATTATTATTGTAAATATTATTTTTATTGTCATTATTGTTATATTATCATTTTCATTATTATTATTGTCATCACCACTATCCTATCATTACCATTATCACTATCGTTATCGTTGTTATTGTCATTTTCAATTTTCACTGTCTCACTATCATTATCATAATAATTATAATTATTATAATTATTATTATTATTATTAATATTATTGTTGCTATTATTATTATAGAATATTATTTTTTTTAATTCCTGTATTATTATAAGATTCCATTATTAATGCTATAACACTGTTATCAATATACTGATACTAACTATAACTTAGCTATGGTTCCTACCATTGTCTAACTGAGGTGTTAATATTGCTTAGTTGTTACACAATAG